GCCCCCGCTTGCCGCCCCCTCCCACCCTCCGGCCGGAAATGAGACTACATGCTTTCTAGGGTCCAACCTATGCAGTGTTTGTGCAGTGCCTGTGCAGGGCCCTTGCAGCCTCCAACCAGTGGCGCACCTGATCGTGCTCTGGGCGGGTCCCAGACAGTTGCAAGTCACCTGGCAGATGGTTTCAAGAGACCCGTGGAGGCTGGTCCCTCAGCAGACTCCATTTTGGATTTCCTGACTCCATTTTGGGCCCTCCGCCTTGCCACTGAGAGAACCCTAACTCCTGTCTCACTAATCCTGTTACAGCGGCAAGACCACAGCTCAAAGTGCTGCGAGTTGATTAGCTTTGACTTCCCCTCTTCCTCCTTACCTCCCTCCCTTTCCAGGGCTGGGGATTGAACCCAGGCCTTATGCATGCCGGGAAACTGAACTATGCCCCCAGCCCTTCACTTTGATTTTTCAGTGAAGTGGTGAACAAGCCGTCCAACAGGTGTGCAGAAGGAAAGGTTCTGAATGAATGGAGGTAGCTCCTTGGACAAAGCAAAGGCTTTTATACCTTTGAGCCAGAGAAGGGTCCTGTCGGCATTTACATACTCAAACATTCCACTTCCATTTCTTTTTTTTTTATTTTTATTTTTTTTTTATCTTTTTGAGACAGGGTCTTGCTATGCAGTTCAGGCTGGCCTTGAGCTCACTTTGCAGCCCAGGCTGGCCTCAAACTTGCAATGATCCTCCTGCCTCAGCCTCCCAAGTGCTGGGATTACAGGCGTGCACCACTATGCCTGGCTTCCATTTCTTTCTTTATTTATTTTTTTTAATGGCATTGCAGACTGAACCCTGGGTCTTTGCACTGAGCTACATGCTCAACCCTTTTTAATTTTTTTTTTTTTTTAATTTTGAGACAGGGTTTCACTAAATCACTAGAATGCCCAGATTGGGCCTGACCTTGCAGTCTTCCTGCCTCAGCCTCTGAGAGTGCCAGGGCTGCAGACCTGCACCTACATACCTAGCTTTCTTTCATTATTTCTTCTATGGGTCTTATAATCTACCAGAGGTCTGTAGAAGTGGATATGACTTCCATTTGGCAGCTGGTGAGGGGAAGGTCAAGATTCAAACTCAAAGCTCTTTGCAAAGGGCCACAGGGGTCCTTTAGTCAAACAGTTAGTTTAAGGAAACAGCCCCAAGATATAAAATAACTTGCCCAACACCAAGCAAGAGCCAGAACTGGAACATGCGCCCTGAGAGCCCTTGCTCACAGTCCTCGCTTGCTGTTGGCCAGGAGTGGGCCTGGCAGGTCTTGTCATGGGTTCTCAGCAGGCTGCACCATTCTGTGAGCTGTTAACTACGTCAGAGGCCAGGCTCACCTGCTGGTGAGCTTTGGCCACTGGCTGGTTGCTAAGCAACCAGAGCCCCTGCAAGCGCAGACGGGCCAGTGCCCAGGGCTGAGGACATCAGCAATTTGCTTTTTAGACTGGTGAGCTTCTGTGTGAGGTACATTCCTCTGGAGAGAGACCAGTCGTTTCCATTGGTGACAGCTCTTCTGGTCCCAAGGTGCCTCCTGTCGAGGAAAGGGCACAAACTTAGGGACACTGTAGGGGCCCGGCCGTGCCAAGAGGCTGCCCCCACTCCCCAGTGACTGCTGGGATCGCCGTTTACACTGGACAGGGCACTAGAGTGGTGGCAGCCCGCGATATCATGTTTTTATTCTTAGCCCATTTATTTTGCATCCCAAGCACAGCACTTCCCTGAATGTTTTTCCAGCACTATCAGGGGTAATGTTTAATTTTAAATACGTACCATATTCTGAAGTGGGCACTATGGCTTCCCGGGGCCAGGTCTCCCCCCTCCCGTCCCTGCCCCAGAACTGGGCAAGCAGAGTTCTAGCAGAGAATTCTTTTTCTCCACATTTGTCTAGAATGGACTTACACTGCTACGTGAGGAGTCCCCAGGTGAAGACCTGGGTTGGGAAACTCAGCTCTCATTGGGTGGAGGATCTCATTCCCACATATGATCCCAGACTGTCCCTCGGGGGGGACAGAGAACTTGGGTGTTGTCTTGGGCCATAGAAGTGGCTGGGCAGTGGGTATTCTCTGTGGCCTTGGGAGGACCTTTGTTTCTACAACTTATTTTTTTTTAAAGAGCAAGAGTTAAAAAAAAAACAAACATCTTCTTGTAGCCACAGAACATTTTCTTTAAGCAAAACTTTATAAAGCCTGAATTCGTAAAGTAGATAAAAAGTGGAGGTTGAGGTGTAGAGCCCAGGGGCTCAGCGGCTCCTCCCTCCCATTTCACCCCTGCCCTCCCCCCCTCCCCTGCCCCCACCCTGCTGGCTGGAGTCCAAGGCCCCTTTGAGCTTAGTGATTTCACATAGAGTTTCATTTACTCCTCAGAGTACTTCAAAAGGAAAGCTAACTCTCTCAGTTACCCAGCCAGTTGCCTTGCAAAAAACCTGAGGGGAAAGATTGCTTTTAATATATGTGTGTATCTATCTATCTATATTATCATAGGCAATTTGTTAAATACTGGCAGAAAGAAAAGAAGAAAAAAATCATGTCATCCTAAGATGACTCCTGTTAATTTTTAAAATATAAATGTGATTGAAGTCTAATAAACATAGAGAAGTATATCCATAAGCATATACATAAGTGTACAGCTGCAAGCCAGATGTGGTGTCACACATCTGTAATCTCAGCACCCTGGGAGGCTGAGGCAAGAGGATGGCAGGTTTGAGCCCAGTCAGAGCAACTTAGCAAGACCCTGTATCAAAATAAAAAGTTCAAAACAGGACTGGAGTATAGCTTAGTGTGATGGCCCTGGGTTCAATACCCAGTACATAATAATAATAATAATAATAATAATAATACATGTATAGCTCCATGAGTTTCTTTTTCTTTTTTCGGATTTTTTTCCGGTACCAGGAATCGAACTCACGACCTTGCGCTTGCCAGGCAGGTGCTGTGCCGCTGAGCTAAATCCCCAGCCCAGCTCCATGAGTTTCTACAAAATGAAAACACACACACACACACACACACACACACACACACACACACGATTAATATCCAAATTAAGAACACTAAATATTTAGGTAAATTTCCTTTGAGTCTTTTTCCTCTGTATAGGTTCTTATTTGTTTCTATAAAGCTGTGGTTATTCTGTGTCTATAATTTTAAGACCTACCTTTTATTTTTTTTTTTTGGTTTTTCTCCGGTACCGGGAACCGAACTCACGACCTTGCGCTTGCCAGGCAGGCGCTTTTGCTGCTGAGCTAAATCCCCAGCCCCAAAATCTTGTTTCTTTTTTTTTTTTTTTTTTTTTTGGTTTTTCTCCGGTACCGGGAACCGAACTCACAACCTTGCGCTTGCCAGGCAGGCGCTTTGCCGCTGAGCTAAATCCCCAGCCCCTGAGACCTACCTTTTAAATTTAGCATTTTATAAACTGATAATTTTTAATAATTCTCATTATTACAAACTACAAACTTAACTAACCACAGACTCCTCTTTTAGGGACATACCCAAGTTGACTTCACCTCTCTCTTATTATTGGGCAGTTAGTTGTTGCTTTGGTTTTATAAACAACACTGTGTTGAACATCTGTGTGCCTAAAGCTTTTCCATAGCTGTGCAATTTCTTTAAGGTGTATTCCCGGAAGGGGAATTCCTGGGCAGAGGGTCTGAGCATCTCGCAACGCAGCATACAATGACGCTATCCGCAGTCTCTCAGGAAGGAGAACTCCACTCAAGAACTCAGCTTAACTCCAGTAATCAACCCTGCTGGGCTCTTCCTGTTTCTTGTCCAAGTGGCAAAGCCCTGAGTAACATTCTGCAGTTTGTTTATTCCATTTGGATAGCAGGCTAAGAGCCAATGGCAGATATGGAGCCAACTATCAATTATTTATCATAACAAGGACAGGAATAGCCTGCTGATATAAAAAGAAGTCCAAGGAAAATGCCCAGATCTTGTTTTTGACATTGGTCTCCCCTCCTTCCTGGAGTAGCCAATAGCAGGTAGAATTGAGGGAGGTCACTCTGCTCCGGGTTTTAGATTAGGAGGCAGCAAGACAGCTGCAGAGTGGGAAGCAAAAGGAGAAGAGGCCCGGTGGTTTCCCTCTGTCAAAGGGCCCCTCCAGGAAGGGGATCTGACTGTACCTTCGAAGATGGCTATCACTGCTCATCCTCCGAGCTGCTAAGTGACCTTGCCTGGTTGCTGAGCCCTGGCACTGGGCCCGGAGTGGGGCTCTGTGAGTGAAGCTGTGATCAGAGAGATGTCTATCTCCTTCCTGCTTAACAACCGCTTTCCCGTTAGACAGTCAACGCGTGCCCAGTGGTGACCACGTGCGAGCGCAGGGCTCGCCCAGCTCGGGGGAGTCGGGGAGGCCGGGGCTGCTGGGAGCAGGGCTGGCAGCTCGGTGAAGGGGCCTCAGCCCTTTCCCTGCCAGCGCATGGTGTTTGCGGCTGGTTTCCCCCTAGCCGCCCCTCTTGCACCGAGAGCCTCATTTTCCTTTCTCACTTGGAGAATACTCTCTTTTTCTTTGTAAATAGAGTGATTTGGGGCCAATGTTGTGTCCCTAACGGGCAGCCTCAAGAGCAGGTCAAATTAAGGGACGGTGGGGTGATTTTTTGTGTGTGTGCTATAAAGGGATTTGCTTTAGTCTTCCCACTTGTAAATTGGACCAGTAATACATACTTATCTTCCTAGGGTGCTTTTAAATTCTAAATTCCCTGGCTCTTCAGAGCGTTGTGAGGTCCCTGGGGATGTGCAGCACTGACGGGATGAGTAGCTGTCACCCCTGCAGCTGAGAACTCGGAGTGTCTGGCCGCCAGCTGTTGGTGTTTTCCGCCGAGGTTTATCACAGGGGACCTAACATCTGTGTGGTTTCTCTCTGTTGTGCGCAGGTTCAAGAGGACGTGGAAGTCACAGTCTCCGCAGGAGTGCAAGCCCAATGTGCACCCGCCGTATCCCCTGGGGCAGCCCAGGCCCGCCATCGTGCTGGTTCCTCTACTCTCCCCTCCAGTGTCCCCCAGCAGCCTCGCGTCTGACAACACCTTGAGCCAGAGCCGACCAGATGCCAGGGACCCACGAAGTCCTTACGACATCAGCAACAGAGACTACTTCTTCCCCAGATAGCTGTCTGAGCGGCACCCGGCAGCTGGTGTCAGACACGGGGACGGCTGGCACAGCGGAAGACGCATCTAGCTGCCATCCCACGCATCTCAGGGGCGGGGCCTGTGGCTTCCCTGTTGTTTTGACACTGGGGAAGGTCAGTGTGCTGCATCTGTCCAGAAGGAAGGGGTGGCTGAATTCTCAAATCTCCCTTCCCAAATGCTCTGCTTACAAGGGGCTAAAAGGAACTCAGGCCAACACAGAGAGCCGAGGAGAGACACTGTGGGGTGAGGAGCTGCTGGTCACCCGCACCTGATTGGGATCCCCAAGTGCACCCTGGGGCAGACGAGATGGGTTTCCAGCCAAGCTGCCCCCCTTGCGAGCTCCTGGCCACTGTACTGCGGGCTGCTTCTAGCTCAAGCTCTGAAAATCCAGGGGCCTTTGCCATTTTTTTCTAGGCCTGTGAGGGCTTCACGTAAACCATGGGGGTTGGAGGAGGAAATTCTTTCTTGCCTTTCTTCCCACACTTGAACAAGAGCCTGGGGTGGGAAGGCAGGTTGTGGTGAATAATATCTCAGGGCCTGATGGTTTAAGTGGAATTTAATTAGTTCCTCATGAACTCTGCTTAATGTGAATGATACATGATGGTAGGCATTTGCTGACTTCTAGGGCGCCGCACTGGCTTGATCACCCTTTGGGGTCTCGGGGCTTCAAGGGGAGAGAAGCAGAGAGGGAGTTGTGGGCTGGACACAGGGTCCCAGTCGTAGCCGCGGGGACCGAAGCTCTGAAACCTATGTTCTCTGTCCTTGGTCTCCGAGGAGGGCCGGGGCTGAGAGCAGAACGTTCCGCTGAGCTTGGTCAGCTCTGGGTTCCACTGGGACTGAGTAACTAGAAAAGAGCTTGTTCATGTGAAAGAAAGGGGAAGAAAAAAGAGCCTGGCAAGAATGTACATTTTTTTTCTAAGAATGTACTTTAATTTTTTTTTTTAAATGCTATTTTCTCTTGAGATGTGGGAAGACCCAGTATTCTCTGGGTGTCAGTATATAAATAGCTTGGGGTTGTGGGGGGGAGCACAATAACTTTGTTTAGCATAAAACCAAGTCAAATGAAAAGGGAGGAGGAGGAAAAATATTTTCCCTACTAGAGATGAGATTCTGGTTTCATTCTGTATTTTGTTTTTGCTTTACAAAGTGCCAAAACAGGCTGGTGCTCCTGGGCTTTAGGGGAAAGACGGCGGAGGCTGCTCCTCCTCCGGGCGAGTGCGAAGGAATGGGTGACCCCTTCCTGGCCCCCGAGCCTCCCACGGTTACTGGGCACGGTCCTGAAATTCCCCACCCCTGAAGCCGCACCCTGTTATCAGAGGGGAAATTCACTGAAGAAAATCCCTTACGTTGGTGCCTTCTTCCTTTCGCTTTCCTTGTGTTGGATTCAGCCCGGCTGGGACAGAAGCACTCACTGAGCCTGTGGTTCTGAGGTGGACACCTCAGCTGACATCTGTCTGGGCTTGGGATGTTAGTGGTCACTCAGACAGGTGCCCACGCAACAGAGCTGTGATTAAAATGCATTGCGCAACCGCAGACCCCCAATTTACCAAACCACAAGACTTTTCTAGAAAAACATCACTGGCACCAAACAGGTGGCGAAGGAGGAAAGCCACCGTGTTGTAGTTGCTGCTTGCTACGTTCGAGTTGTTACTATCTTGAGCTAGTAGTGATTTTCATCGCCAGCTTTGACTGTACACTTTAGACCCGGGGGCTGATTCCGGTGCCCTGTGCCGTTGGCAGAAGCTAAGCAGGTGTTCATGGCCTCCCCCCCCTCCCCCTGCAAAGTTTTCGGGACTCTTTAAACTGCTGTGAAAGGGAAATATTAGAAATGAGGACCTTCATGGGAAAAGGTGACTCTGTGCCCACGGTTCTTTAATTCTTGTGCACGGTTTTACCCACATGTAACATTACCAAAGCCCGGCAGAGCCGTGCTGGAGGAAGATTTAAATCTAGATAGCTCATTATCTCCCGAGCTAGGCAGCTTTGATCTCCAAATTGTTATTACTTTCATTATTACTGTAACGGAACTGTCTTTTTTTTTTTTGTATTGAAGAGGGTTTTTTCCCCTTTATTTTGATAAGCTAGTGTCAATGAAGGAAGTCTTTGTCTTCTCTGAGCCCAGGCCTTGCTTAGGCCATAAGCTTTCTTGGTCTGCAATCTGGTGGCTGCACTGTGTTTAATCCCCAGGTCCCCTGGCCATTCTTTCCTGGGTTTCTGCAGCCCACACTCACCTGAAACCTGCAGCGGTCAGCTGCGCAGCCAGACGGGCCATGTTAGGACACAGACAGTTTAGATTAGGCACCAGACCCACCCTGTGGGGTGCGAGAAGTCAGAGATATGCTGGATCAAGGTCTGTAGCAAAGTGATCATTAATTCCGGTAGCATTAATGAAATCCTGTAAGAACATTTCAAGGGCGTAGCACGGCTGTGCCTCTGTACCTGCGTGAGTCAGAGCACAGAGCTCTTGCGGTTTGTTCGCTGGGCTCTGAGCTCACGCTGAGTCTCCGCCATGTCCCTGCCGTCTTGGGAGAAGGGGAAGTGGTCACCAGGAAGGTGTAGAGTCTGCGTAGGAACTGAATCGGAGTGATGTGGTGAGCAGGGTCTGGTGGGACAGGCCGGGACTGGCCGTGGCTTGTAGCTTTGCTGAAGACTGCTCAGGAATGTCTCGCAGACTGCTTTGGCGCTGAGCTGTGTCATCTCAGTAGGGCCTGAGGCTGACCCAGTTAAGGAGACTCACCCCCAGCTCCAGGTGGAGCTGGGGAGAAATCTGTCTCACCGTGGGGCATGTGGGTAGGAGCCACCCACAGCCCTTTCCCACGCAGCAGTCCGCTGTGGGCCGTGCTAGAGGGGGCGGACCAGTGGCTCAGGTCCTGTGCCAGGTGCTGCTGAGTGGCCCCAAAAGGTCCCTCCAGCCTGGAGTCCCCAGTATGGCCAGGCACCAGCAGTAGGAAGTTTCTATGGCAACCTTAATGATTATTAAGGAACACTGTCAGTTTTGTGAACATATGCTCAGACCAAGATCCACTTTGGGAGGAAAGGATTGGAACAGCGTGTAGCAAGGCTGTTGATTAAGAGAGAGACCTTACGGGATGGAGATCACATCTGTTAAATACAATACCTCAACTCTACATGTTTCTTGGAGAGAAATAATAGTTTTAAGGGGTTTTTGCCCCCCGCTACGTGTCTGAAAGCAAATACCAAAGGCTGATGTCAGTATGATCTATGTTTTTTTAAATACTTTTCTCTTTTTTTTTTTACCAGCTATTTTGCATTTTAAATGAGAATTGTAAACATTTGAAATAAACCATTTCTAAGAATACACTTGAGAGCATGTTGTTTTGGGCACCTGGCATGTGCATGATTAACAAGGAGAAAGGGGTGGAGATGGAGGAGTAGGTAGGTGACGGGACCCCTTTAAGGCAGCATTACAGCAGCTCTGGAAAAAAGCAGGTGCGTTCAAGGAAGAAGTAGCAGTTCCCCCAAAGGCTTTAATTGTGAAAGTGGTTCCCAGCCTGGCTCCTGGGGTTTCTGGAAGGGACTTTACCAGCTGATGGACGCTCAAGGAGGAAAGGGAAGGGCCATTATTCATCAGAAGACTGGGCGGGGCGCTAACAGCATCACAAAGGCCACCCTGACCCCTTGATGTTCAGATAGGACGAATCCGGCCCCTATTGAAAAGGGTCTGAGGTAGGAAAAACTTGGGGCCCTGCCACCCACATCTTCCAAACAGAGGAAGAGCCATCCTGCGGGTGCTTTGTGGGGAGAGTCGCTGTGTAAACTTCAGGGCAGGGAGCAGGGGGCTGAGGGAGGCCTGGGGGTTATGTAATTCCGACTGAAAGTTAAAACCAGGGCATCTGCTTCTTGACCCCAACCTGGGCAGTAGGAAAACTAAGAACCACCCCAGAGGACGCACTGGCTCCCGAAAGACAATGCATTCTGCCCTGGAAGCCGGCCCTTGTCTCGCAGGGAGCTGCACAGGAGCTAGCTGAGTGGGCGGTGGAGGGGTGCGGGGTGGGAGGAGCTGTGTCCCATTCCCCGCGGTGTCACTGTCAGGATGACATGGTTACGGCGCTCCTTTCAGAAGAACTGGAGGCTGCAGATGGTGATCACTGTAGAGGACGGCAAGGAACACTTGGTTACTGGAACTGTCTCTTATGCAGGCGTTTTCCCTACTTACCAAGGCGCAAGGAAACCAGCACTTCTGCACGTCTGTGGGAAGCGCAGGGCAGGGCCAGGAAACACCACTGGCCATCCTGAAGAGGCAGAGATGTGCTGCGGAAAGGGCCGTAAACTCTTCTCAGGGCGTGGTGCACATGCCTGAAATCTTAGCGCTGGGGACGCCGAGGCAAGAGGATCACCACACATTCGAGGCCAGCCTGGGCTACCTAGTGAGACCATGTCTCGAACAAACACACGAAACAATAACAACAAAGCCGTTCTGATGTAGCGCCACGGCTGTGAGAGCTGGGGCAGGGGCTTAGAGCAACCGCTGGGGAGGAGTCAGGTCCCAGGGGGTGGTAACCCAACCCCTGAGTCGATTGAGTTCTTCAGTAAAATCACAGCGGGTGTGTGTCTCAGTCACAGAAGGACAGGCCTGCTAAGTAACTGCAGAATACTTTATAAAGCTGCCCAGTGTCCTCCGAGAAAATGCCTTACTGCAGGATGGGAAGCTGTGTTTGGCGTTTCATAATTGTTTAAAGAATAAAACGTATAGGAAGGCCATTTTATTATTTGTTTTTAAAATTTACGTATTGCTCAATATCATATCTTTTTTTCGTATGTGTGGTGCTTGGAACGGAAGCCAGGGCCTTGTGTGTGCCGGGCAATCGCCCCTCCTTCACCCCAGGCTGCACCCCCCAGCCCATCAGCAACAGATTTTAAATGACAGAGACATTAGGGACCAGCATGGAGGGAGGGAGATGGAAAAGTGGCCGAAGACAGCGTTCTGCCGAGCCATACACACAGGCGGGCGGCACGGCTGCGAGAATCCGCCTGGCTCTCCCGGCTGGGCCTCTGGCTCTCCCGGCTGGGCCTCTCGTTCCAGCAGAAACGAGGTTGAACTTGAGTGATCTGAGCCGCAGGTTCCCAGGAACGGCAGGTGCTGCAGGCGCCTCAACCTCAGACCCTGGGGTTATTTAGTGTGTGGGTTCCACTGCGGGCCTATGCGTCAGGAGAGGCCACCTGGAGGTCCACTGCCCCTGTGTAGCACAGGTGACATTAAAATTAGCTAGTAAGCGCCGGGGTGTGGCTCAGTGGCAGAGCACTTGCCTAGCACACAGGCAGCCCTGGGTTGCTTCGCCGCTAATCCGAAAGAAATCACATAAAATCAAGTTACTGAGAGCCCTTCATCAGCCTTCCGCCACGTGCTTCACAAACAGGACGGTCTCCCTCATCCTAAAGCCCCTGTGAGGCAGGCACTTTCGCCTGCTTACAGACAGGCAGCTGCGGCCGCACGGGTGAAGAGCGGTGCGGAGGGCCGGGCCGGCCTGGGTCTGCCCACCCCCACAGCTGGTGCCCTCTGCCTCGTCCTAGGCTCAGGCCCCTGCTCCTGTGGCTACGTCGGAGGGCTCTGCCTCCCTGCGCTGGGTCCCAGGGTAGAAGGACCTGAGCGTCTATCGGTTTGTCACTCCCATTCCTGTGGCCAGCAGCTGGACACCGAACCCACAGGTACACAGTCCAGGAGCTTTCATGGGGCTGGGGCTGGGGGCTAGCAGCCAGACGTAACGACACAGGCCACAAAGGGAGGGGATCTTCAATTTAGTCCCCACCCGGGTCAAATCAAACCACTTCCTTCCGTCTAGATCTGCTCCCCCTCTGGACTGCGAGGAGTGACTTGGTTTTCTCTTTCTGCTTCCTTAGTAGAAACTTTAATGAGTTTCCTCAGACTGAGGAGGGTAGGAACCTTATACCCACTCTCCCTCAAGGATGAATGGCCCTTCCGGGGGTGGGAGGAAGAGCAGCGCTGTGCTGGGGCCCCCGGAGGAGCTGCCCTGGGCCGAGAGCTACACCGCCAGCCCAGCCGCTCCTGGGAGACAGGGAAGGGAGGGGCTGCAGAGGCAGAGGAAGAGGCTTCCAGGTAGAAGCGCT